TCCAGACCTGAGCCTGCCTTGTACAGAGATGGGATGAACTGGGGACAGGTCACTTCTGAGTCTCACCAATGCTGTCTTCTATCTTCCATTAGCCAGATGTTTTGTTTTTAAGTTAAAACAGAAACAACCCCAACAAAACCAAAACTCTCTTTATTGTGACTTGAGTGGAAGTTTCAAAGGAAAATGAATTTCCCTTCAATCCTGTGTACAGTTTGTTCAATAACATTGATTTTTATCATCCTGGTGGAACTGTCCTTTCTTATTTCATCTCTGTAGTTTTGATTTCTGTTTTGATTTCTTCTTGGCCTGTCTGTGTCTCTCTCTAGTGCTATTGTGCTGATATCTCCTTATTGGATATTGTCTTTTCTTTCATCCATCTTAATTAGTGCTTAGCTATTTGTTACATATTTCTGTTCCTCCATCTCCAATGTTTCTCAAGCTGAAAGCACTGAAAAACAGATTCAAGCCTCAAGTTTCACTACTTCAAGATGGTAAATGCGAAAGAAAGATGCTAAATCTTAATACTAAAATTTTGAATAATTGAGAAATCATCAAAAGAAGATGGAGGGAATACACAGAGTATTGAAACGAAATGACTTGGTTGATGGGGAAATATTTCAGGAAGTAGCATATATATGAGAATGAGCTAATGTTAATGAAGGAAGTAGTTTAAGTTCCACTAAAGGAACTGGAAAAAAATAAGTCCCCGGAAATCAATAGGATCATTGACATATTTCAAGCAACAGAAGTAGCCCTGGATGTGCTCATGTGTATGCCAGGAAATCTGGAAGACAGCAGGTGGCCATTTGATTAGACAGTTGTTGGGGAATGTCAGGGAGGAGGGCATGGCTTCTGGCCAGGACAGATAGCCTGGCTCGAGATAAGTGAGAACCTCCCAATGGCCTTTAATACGGGGTAGAGAAAGCTCTCCTGTGTTTGGCTGTACTGGCTTGAGAAAGTTCGCCACCTGGGAAGACAGCCGCTACATCTGTTGAGCTGGGAGTGGTCAACATGAGGCTGAGGTTGTCCTGCCCAATCCGTATGTCCCATGTCTGTAAGCCCACCGTATCCTGTCTTCATGTTTACTTGCTTGTATATAAGTGTGCTGCAGCCCCCAATAAAATTGAGCTGGATTGACTCTCTGATCCTCTTACAGAGTGGTGTGTCTCTGTCATGCTTACTCCCATCAAGGTGTCGCTGTTTGTTGCCGGTGAATGGACAGTGACAGACAGAATCTGTATTTGTTCCCATTCCCAAGAAAGGTGGTCCAATAGAATGTGGAAATTATCAAGCAATATACAATGAAAAAAATATTACTTTTACTCCCAAATGGCTAGACAGTACATTGTAAGAAAACTATTAGGGCAGCTCTGGTGGCCTAGTGGTAAGGAGCTGCAACTACAATCCCAGAGGCGCCC